GGTGACATATACCAACAGTATATCATTTTATAAAAATTCTCTTTAAGATTATAACAGTGTAAATTTCAATCCTTTCAACCACATGTTTCCCATTGTTCCATCTGTATACTATAACCAAAATTTTAGCCCACTTTATCATACATTCTTTCACTTGTTCTTCTGTTTCAAATTACAATAAAAGTTTATACATTTTAGCAGTTACATATTCATCATTTGTACACAATTCTATTTCATACTCAGTCTCTTACAACATTCAAAACCATAAACTCTTTTGTCTACTTTAAATCTTTCTAATAACTATAGATAAGAAAATCACTGACAACTATGTCCTCTGGCACCAGTTGTTCTCTTGATTTTATTTTATATTCCCCTTGACAAAATTCTAGTATTTCACAATAAGTTAGCCATTTGTGTTCGCCTATTATTTCTCGTCTATAAAATGCTTCTTGTGCTGAGAGCCACAAAGGTGTTTTGGGGCACAACCTGGGTTTGTATCTGTTCCATATTCTCAATAAGGCACGTCTAACATAATGATTTTTAAAATCCACATTAACCTTGACCTTTTCGTACCACAAATTTCCATGCCACCCAAATCTCAGGCCGTGTTCTTCTAATTCCAAGAGCCTTCTATTTCTCAGCAGCACCCACTCTTTCATCCAAACCAAAGAGCAAGCTGCAATATACAATTTCAAATCAGATAGGCCCAATCCTCCTCTTTCCTTTGCATCTTATAACACCTTATATTTCACTTGTGGTTTTTTTTCCCCTGCCACACAAATTTAGATATATCCTTCTGCCACTCTTTAAATGGTGCATCAGGTCAAAACAGGTATTGTCTGAAACAAAAACATCGTTCGAGGCAGGACATTTATTTTTATCACAGAAATTCTCTCCAGCAATGACAACTGTAGTTTCTCCCATCTTAGCATGTCTTTTTAAAACTTCATTCCATGTCTTAGCATAGTTATTTTGAAATAACATACAGTGCACATTTGTCGTGATACCCAGATATTTTACCTTCTTATCATGAAACCCGTTTGATTCATCAATTCTGTTTGATCTTCTATTTTCATATTTTTTGTTAACATCTTCATCTTCTGGTTATTAATCTTAAAACCTGATAATGACCTAATTCTTTTAATTTGCCCATTAATGTTTCAATTCTGTTTAAAGGATCTTCCAAAACCAGCACCTAGTCCTCTGCAAAAGCCCTTAACTTATAAGTTTCTTTTTTAATCTTTATTCCCCCAATCCTCTCATCTTGTCTTATATCTCTATTCAGTATTTCAAGAACCAAAATAAACAAGAGAGGAAACAGTGGACGTCCCTGTCTTGTTCCTTTTTGCATCTCACAGTATTCTGATCTCCATTAATAATTATTTGTGCTTTCTGTGAAGTGTAAAATTGATCTTACCCATTTTATAAAATTCTCTCCAAAACTCATACCTTCCAAAATCTTGAACAAGAAGGCCCAGTTCAAACTATCAAAGGCCTTCTCTGCATCTAAAAAAATCAATGCAGCTTCTTTTTCATTATGTTGCTCTAATATTGTCTTTTACCTAAAAAGCCACATTGATCCTCATGAATAAATTCTTGCAAAATTATTTTCAGTCTATCAGCTAGTAAAAAGCCACATTGATCCTCATGAATAAATTCTTGCAAAATTATTTTCAGTCTATCAGCTAGAATTGTTGTAAACAACTTATAGCCATTATTCAACAATGATTTTGGCCTATATTTCTTGTTAAAGTCAATTCTCGTCCCTCTTTGGGTATTAGTGCTATTGACCTCTTTCCAACTCTCTAGCATCTTTCCTCCCTGTAAAATAGAATTCATTGTGTTTGTAAAGGTTGTAAAAGTTCATCCTTAAAACATTTATAATAAAAACCTGACAATCCACCTGGTCCAGGCACCTTTCCTGGTTTAATCTTTTTTATAGCTTCAGAAACTTCCCTTAATATTATAGGTCCATTCATAATCTATCTCTGTTCCTCTGTAATCCTCAGTAAATTTTGTTTCTTTAGATATTCATCTATTTTCTCCAGAGAGAGGTCACTTCCTTTGTAGAAGTTGGGATAATATTGATGAAATGCTTTTTGCATACCCTCATTATCCATTAATATAGTATCTCCCTCTTGTAATTTCAATATCATTTTCTTTCTCTTTTCTTTCGTAATTTATATGCCAACCACTTCCCTGGTTTGTTTGCAAACTCAATTTTTTTTTTTTTTGCTTTACCTAGTTCCTTCCCCCCCCCTCATTTTTCTTATTGTTAACATAGAGAACTCACTGTAAAAGCTTAATTTGTTGAGAAACACTTATCTTCTCTGGAAATTTCTTTAGTTCATCTACTTTTCTTTTTATCTCATCCAAAATAGCTTGTGTTTTCTTGACTCTTCTTTTTAAGTTCACTATTATATTGTATAACATAACCTCTAATGAAAGCTTTACTTGCATTCCAAACCGTTCTTAAATCAGTACCTTGGTCTAAATTATTTTCAAAAAATTATTCTAATTTCTTTTTACAATCCTCCACTATTGCTTCTTTCTGTAGCAACATTTCATTTAGTCCCCATCTAAAAGAACTAGATTTCCTTTTATAAACCAAACTCACAGGATTATGTTCCAAAGAAGCCTTTGCAAATATCTCTACTTTAGAAACCTTAGTAGCCAAATTCTTTGAAATCCAAATCATATCTATTCTTGAAAAGGATCTACGTCTTTCAGAAAAATAGGTGTACTCTCTTGAATTGCCATTTTTCTGTCTCCATATATCAACCAACCCTAAATTGTCCATCAAATAAAAAAAACTTTTGATAATTTGCCTTGAATAATTTTAATGTTTTTCTCAGAAG